TGCAACCGGGTCTATCGTAGCATCGCGCTCGTACCCTTCAAGAAAAGAAGTCGTCAAGATTCTTCGTCACAAGAAAGAGATGTGGACTCTTGATGATGAGGGCCGGCTATTGGTTTGGCCACCGGATGAGAACGGCACTCCCAACCTTCAATACAGCTACCACAACCCTTACGATCGGGTTGCCCGCGGACATACTTTCTCCATGGTGGTGGGCGATAAGCTCTGGCTGGCTGCGGGTAAGGAGGTACATGTGTACCGGCCCAATGCGCGGGATGATATTTCGTTCAAAGTACTCAGCCGGCCGCTGGGCGCGCATCATACTGGCGATGTCACGTCTGGCGCATATACTACTCGAGACGGCGGCCTTGTCTATCTGGGTCATTCGGATGGCAAGGTGACAGTCTATTCTGCTAAAGACTACGCGTGTCTCGCCGTCGTGAACGTCAGTGTCTATAAGATCAACTGCTTGGGGATAGTAGGGGACTACCTGTGGGCAGCGTACAAAACTGGCATGATCTATGTCTACGATACGAGCACGAATCCCTGGACAGTTAAGAAGGACTGGCGTGCTCACGACAGCCCCGTGAGCGGGTTCTTGTTGGATTCGAGCAGTGTGTGGACGATGAACCGCCTCCAGGTGACTTCACTGGGTGACGATAATTGCATTCGTTTGTGGGATGGTATGTTGGAGGATGATTGGTTAGGTAAGTTGCGATTCGGGGGGTTGTTAACGGCCTTCATTGACCCGAGTATAGAAACCCGGATGCAAACCAGAGACGTCGAGTTTTGCAACTTTCGTGAGATCCATGCTGCAGTTATCACCTGGAATGCTGGTGCTTCGACACCTGGCAGTGTGCGGACGTCATCGTTCATCCAAGATGCCATTCACCCTGAGAATCCCCCGGAGATTATCGTCTTTGGTTTCCAGGAGCTAGTGGATCTGGAGAACAAGAAGATCACAGCTAGTATGTGCATTTCATCCTCGATTAGATTTCAACATGTTGTCTTGGCAGTACTGATTAAATTACAGAGAGCCTTCTTCTGGGCAGCAAGAAGAAAGACAGCGGGGACAAGGAACACATGAGTCGACAGTATCGGGTGTGGATGGAACATCTGACACGGTGCATCAACGATTGCATGCCACTGGAGGAATCGTATGTGCTGTTGCATAGTGCGAACATGATCGGACTCTTCACGTGTGTGTTCGTAAAACACAAGGAGCGGCAGAGAATCACGGATATCAGTGCGTCTGAGATCAAGCGGGGTATGGGAGGGTTGCATGGCAACAAGGTAAGCCATTTCTGGACCTGCATCTAGGAGTATGACTAACGATGTAGGGTGCTCTTCTTTTCCGATTTACGCTGGACGACAGCTCCATCTGCTTGGTGAATTGCCATTTGGCAGCCGGCCAGACGCAGACAGCCCACCGTAACAACGACATAGCGGCGATCCTCGAGGCAGAGTCGCTTCCCGCCGAGCCTAGCCTCGCTGCACGCGCAAACCGCTACGTGAGTGGTGGTGACGGATCGATGATCATGGACCATGAGATCTGCATTCTTAATGGTGATCTGAACTACCGCATTGACGCTATTCCACGTAATGTGATCATCGACGCGGTCCGCAGCAACAACCTCACGAAGCTGCTCGAGCGCGACCAGCTGCTGGCTTCGCGGCGCAAGAACCCTGGCTTCCGCCTCCGGTCCTTCAACGAGTCCCCCATTACCTTCGCCCCGACGTACAAGTACGACGTCGGCACAGACGAGTACGACTCGAGTGACAAGAAGCGTGCCCCAGCCTGGTGCGACCGGGTTCTGTACCGCGGCCTCGGCCGGGTTCGACAGCTCGAGTACCGTCGTCACGAGGTGCGGGCGTCCGACCATCGGCCCGTCAGCGCCGCTTTCAAATTCCGCATCAAGACCGTGTTGCCGGCTGAGCGGGAGGCCGTCTGGGAAGCCTGCCAGCAGGAGTTCTCCCGCGAGAAACGTCGACTGGCGTCCGAGGCCAGGTAGGATTTGTCCGTCCCGTATTTTGTGGTGTCATGACTAACGCATGCTTCAACAGTATCGAATATCTCATCACCGTCCTGGGCACCGAACCACAACAAGCTCGGTCTCTGATCATGGGTAACGGGAATTAGACCTAGGTTCCTTTGGGGTGTTATCTGAGTTCATCGGGGAGGTTTAACTTCAGATCCTGCCCTCCGCGACCCAGCGCAGCACTACAACAAGGCATAGCGTTACACCGCCGAAGTGTGTATATGACTAATGATTCACGATAGACATGTATTTATCATGATAGGAGAAAGAGGGGGTCTCTTAGATGGAGCTATGGTATGGTCGATGTGGAAGGGATACTTAATTAATATTGGGAGTGTCAGGGATGGTTGGGTGTTAGCCAAGGAGAGACACAGAGAACGGTGGATGGGGTGTATATACTATCACTATTTACTTATTGTTGATCTTTTTCTTCTTTTGTGAGGGCAGAGGAGTTGGTCCACACATAGACAAAGATGGGCTATGGAGTATTTAACTTGTCTATTCTATTGTCGACTGCATCGTTGACTAGAAGGTCAATCTCAGAGCCTGAGCGCTTCAGTCTTGAGTTCCTAAGTTGATAGCTCATGTGAGAGGAGCTTAGTCCAAGATACTCAGCTGCGAGAATTCTGTATACTCTCATTGAGTCTGATATCATCGCTGCTGCAATACATTACTTCATTTACAGTCAGTTCATCAAGCCTCCGACCTTCAACTGAGCAACTGGGCTCGCAGCATCTCAGGAGATCGGACTAGGTTGAGGACAGGCCTGAATCATGGAAGATATACCATGGGTAAAGAAAGCTAATTCAGCCACAGTGTAATTGACGATCAGACTCCGGAGGATATCAGAGTCGGAGAAACCCCCAGGACTTAGCATCTTAGTCTTCCGACAATAGCTCACAGCACCTGCTCCTGGAGGCAGCTCCCAGCAACAGCTCCCAGCACCAGCCAACAACTACAACAGCTTCAGCAACCGCCAACAACAACAATAACCACCCCCATGGCCAGCCAAGCACAGCAACACCAAGCCGACAACATCGTGTCCAGCGCAAACCGCATCATGGCGCTAGCCCAGCGACACGCAGTCACCGCGAAGGAGGGCGGGGATACCACCACCGCGCGGGCAGCCCTGAGCGCTGCGTGCGAGGAACTGGCCGTGTCCACCACGGCCCCGGAGGTGTGGCTGTCGCAGACCGCGGCGTCATCGCACACGGCCGCCGCGCTGGCGATCCTGCTGGAGACGGACATCATCACGCGGCTGTGCGAGACGGCCGAGCCGGTGCCTGCTCCGACCCTTCTCAGGGGCGTTGGCGACGACGCCACCCCTGCGCTGTTTCGTGAGTTGACGCCGGTCCTTGACCATTCCCCGCTAACAGGATCTCCAGGCTGCGCGCTGAGACAATGCGCCGCCAGCCGTCTCCTGGACGAGCCTGTCCCCGGCCATTTTCAGCGCAACCCGCGCACCGAGCTTCTGCATGATCCTTACATCCGAGGCTGGATTCATTACCTGTCAGTTTCCTCGTCGATGTTCGTGGTATACTAGCCCGGGAGTTTCTAATGTACCAGAATGGAACAGGGTGGACGATGGTCTGCGCTGCGCCTCGTGGTTATCGCGGTATGCCGCGCAGAACAACTACCACATCCCAGACGAGCGCCACCGAAGCGCCTTCGAGCTGGCCTTTGACGGTAAGCCTCGCCAACTCTCCACACCTTACAAGCCTTCATCAGCGACTGCCTTCAGAAATAACCAACCCTGCCATAAAACCCAGCAAACACCCCCTGCTACGACTACTACCACCAAGCCGACCCGCGGCGCGGCCAGCGCTTCGACACCGCAATGGAGGGCTACTTCCGCCTGAACGCGCCCACGCCCCTCGAAGAGATCATCGACCTCCGCGCCCTCTGCCCGGAAGATCCGCTGGTCGTCGACGTCGGCGGCGGCCGCGGCCATCACTCCCTGCGTCTGGCGCAGAGATACCCGCGCATGCGCTTCATCGTGCAGGACTACGCGGACGAAGCCCCGAGCAGCGCGTCCGGCATCGCTCCCGACCCCCGACTCCGTGAGCGGGTGAGCTGGACCAAGCATGATTTCTTCGGTGAGCAGCCCGTCCGTGGGGCGGGGGTGTATCTGCTCAGCCATATTCTGATGGATCATCCTGATCGGTGGAGTTTCCTGGTAATCTTCTTCTTGGAATATGGGATTGCGCTAAGGTACTGGGTTGGTACAGGGAGAGCCAGAAGATCCTGGCGCATCTGGCTGAGGCCATGGACGCCCGCTCCACCCTGCTGGTCGACGACTTCTTCGACCCCGGCGATGGGCGGTTCGGCTCGCCGCAGGGGAGTTGTCTGGCGTTGCATCTGATCGCGTGCCGGGGGACGGCGTTCCGGACGCTGGAGCAGTGGATGGCGCTGTTTGCGCGGGTGCCGGTCTTGAGCGTGGGGGAGTGTCGGGTGCTTGAGCATGGGCGGATGGTGATGAGGGTGTCCAGGGTGAAAGAAGTATAGTCTTGGGTGGATCGACTGAAACAAGGACGAGGAGTCGGTCATGTTGACTGGTGATTAATACTGCATATGCTCAAATACTGAGTATCTGAACGCCGGGAGGGAATGCAAGTCAAGGTCCAGCTAGAAACTATTCCGACTTCATGGTATCTTGCCTAAGGCCTGCGGATAGCTCTTGCATCGGCTCCACTGAGGGACTGGGAAGCACCGGGGCTATGAATGCTTGGAGTATATCAGCAGTTGTTTCACAGTGCTTTCCGTATACTCCCGTCTCCGACAAGAGCAAACCCCGGAAGTCAAGTCATGCCGTCATCGTCCCGGGAAAGCGGGCCTCCCCACTGCACCCCCGCATCAGCCCTATGACTTTTACATCAGCCCTACGAACATACCTCTCCGTACTCGTATAAAATAGTTGTAGCTTCTGACGTAGCCACGCGCAACCCCAATCCATCACTCCTCCTACACAAACCCAGTCCACCCATCCACCCAACCACCCCCAAAAATCCCTCATCCCCCATCCCACATCCCACACCAAATTCCCAACCACAGCCCCTCCCCTCTCACCTCTAACCACCCACACGAACAAAAATGACCACCAACCCCCTCGCCTACCGCACCGCCCAAGCCATCGGCTTCACCGGCGCCGCCTGGCTATCCGGTGCGTTTATTCCCATCCCAATCCCACCCCCGCCCTTCCATACCCCCAAACCCCAGCCCCAAACCCGATAAACCAACCCAACCCATCCTAAAGGACTAACGAATCCAACAAAGGCACCATCGCCTCCCAAAGCCTAATCACCATCCCCGCCCTGCTAGCGCGCGACCCGACCCCGGACCCGGACTCAACCCACCAGACCCCCGGGGCCTCCTCACCTAAAACCCTGAAGATCTGGGAACGAATCTCCACCGCCAGCACAGCCCAAACCGCGCCGGTCGCCGCGGGCACGGCAGCCGCGTTCATTTATCTCGCTTGGACGGTGGCGCGGGCCGTCGAGCCGCCGCAGCTGCTGCAGTTCCTCAGTAGCAGCAGTAGTAGTCGCTATGCCAGTCCGGGGCGGTGGTATGCGGCTGCGGCGGTGTTGACGGTGGGGGTGGTGCCGTACTCGGCGGTGGTGATGCGGGGGACGGATTGGCAGATTCTGCGGGTGGTGGAGGGGGAGGGGGAGGGGGGGGCGGAAAAGACCAGCGGGTTGCTGAAGCGGTGGGCGGTGCTGAATGCGGTGCGGAGTCTGTTGCCGCTTGTTGGCGGGTTGTGCGGGTTTGCCGCCGCTGTGATTTGACTGTACTGTACGATACTAGTTACTTGATGGTGTAGATGGTGTTGGGGTTGGGGTTGGGGTTGGGGTTGGTATTGGTGTTGGGGATAGTGCTTAATTTTGATTCATGGATTTCGGGCAAGATGCTCAATTCTGGATTGAGAGAATGAAAAGACAAAAGCTTCAACTCTTCTTCTACTTCTACATTAGGCAATCCCTCGCAGTAAAAAGAAAAACATCAGAGCAGTATCTTTCAAGGTTCCCACAAGCAGCTGCCCGCATCTAATACCGTTGCAAGGTAGAAGGTAGACAGCAAAATCAGCAAGGTAGACAGCAACAATCAGCAATAATCAGCAACAATCAGCAAATCGGCAAATCGGCAAATCAGCAAATGGGCAAATCAGCTACAAATCCAACATCAGCAAAAACCATCAAACACCCGAACTCCAACCAACCCTACTTCTTACCCACCCGCGCAGCCCGTCCAGCACCCCTCTCCCCACCAGCGTCCACCCGAAAGATCCTCCCAACCGACTCACCAAACCTCAACGCGGTGTGATCCTCCCCCCTCCTAAGCCTCCGCACCACGTGCGGACACGTCGAAAAGTGCCGTGGGAGATCCGGGACCCGGAACGCGCGATCCACCCCCTTGCTCCCCGGGGACGTCGTGTCCCAGGCATAGGAGTACTTCACCCGTTTTCTCAGGCGGCGCTTGATCTTGTCGCGGGATGTCTCCCAGTACTTGGTGCACCCGTAGCAATACACCCCCGGCTCGGCGACGCGGGCGTGCGGGTCCCAGCACGGAAACGCCACGGTCGACCGCAGCCAATATGTCCATTCCTGGAGTGCGGATCCGAACTCGCGACTACTACTGCCGAACCGGCGCAGCCAGTGCTGTCGAAACAGGAGTCCAGCTTGCGTCACGTCAATCAGCCGGTCGGAACTGTATTGGCCTTCGAGAAGATCAACACAAGAGAAGACCGGGAGATCCCACCGGTCTTCCGGCAAACCGTAACAGACAGACACATCATGGAGGGTGGCGACGCGGTATTGACTATGTCTCAGAACGCACTGCAAACACACCCGCGAGAGAGTGGGGATATAGAGAAGAGGGCCAAAGTCAGGGCCGGTTCGGCACCGCGGGTGGCAGAATTCGCGATACAGTTGGTGGAGAGGGAAATTATGGGTGCATCGGGCAATATCAAGGTTCATGAGGGTCTCCGCTGCATGCGTTCGGAGCATGCGGTATTCGTAGAGAGAGTCGACCTGCCGGTGCATCAGGGTGTTGACTAGCCGTAGGTTACCTAGGGTAATCATATCAAGGTGGAGGAAGATCATGTACACTATCTCCAGCGGTAGTGAGGGCCATAGCGGCCGGGAGGACGGCGGCTGCCAACAAGGTGGCTGGCAACGCGGTTGTTGCTTCGGACATTGGGTTCGATAGAGCCTTATGAGTTCCCTAAGACGAGCGCGTGACATAGATGAGTGGTGGTGAAGAAGATTCTTCCCCGGCCGCTCAAAACGGTACGCTAATCCGGAGGCCATAGTTTTGATCTGATTAGTTTCGGTTATTAGAAGCAGTTACATGTCGGCAGGGGGCAGCTCGTGGTTTTATCGTGATGACTGTTGTCATGATGTTGTAGTGAGATCATGCGACGGGGGTTCCGGGACCATTGGCCGATGCCATCCACTTCGTCCTCCTCTGGGTCCGACGCAGTGGCTGAAGCAGCCGTGGTCCTCCTGGTCTTCGAGAATCTGCACGGGGCTCGCAGCGGGAGTTGTGTGACTTTTACTCGTTAGGTTCTGTGCTCGTGATGTTGGAGTACAAATTTAGTCTCTTTGCATGGACGCCGGCCCTCGAGCAAGCACTTATCGAGGGTGAATCGAAGAATGCAAAGCAAATCTCCTTCCGAGAAGGAACGAGCAAGCGAATCACTCATTCCTCTTCGACTCCAAAATGGACCATTTATCACAAGCAGCGGCCACATCCCCCGCCGTCACCCCGTCCTTGTTCTCTCAAGTTGGATCCGGCCCCAGCTCCACCAGCAACGCGAAAAATTTCCCCTCGTCGTCGTACGGCACATCAATCGGGTCATCTTTGCCGCGCGCAACTACATGCAGTAAGGTAACCCCGTTGTCGTTCACCGCATGGATATCATGCTCCGCGAACATACGCCGCAAGTCAGACTCCTCCGGCGGAGACGTCGCATACTCATCCGTATGGTACACTCGCAGCTGGTTGACGTAGGCAAAGATGGGCGTGTTGCCTTGATTGTCGCGGGCTTCGCGACTGCAGCCCTTGTCAAGAAACAGCTGATACAGCGCCAAACACGCCGGGTACAGGTCTTCGTCCTTTTCATCAGAACCCGTGGAGATGGCGCGTTCTTCTATGTCCTTAGCGGTGCATTGTATCAGGACCGGGGCCATAAAGTGCGGGGCGGTTCTGCCGTCCGGGAAGGGCTCCGTTGCGTTTGCTCCCACCGCCACGAGGCGTTCCAGGTTCCATTTGAACCGCAGAGAAGGCATGGAATCCTCGTCCACTGAGCCATCGATGGACTCGGCGAGTGCTACATGCAGCGGGCTTAGTCCGTGTGTGTTATGCGCGACCGTCGAGGCTCCTCTGGCAAGAAGCTCCTCGACGACCTCGCGCAAATTGTTCAGCACGGCATAGTGCAGGGCCGTGGAGCCGGAATTGTCGGCGACGTGGATGTTCGCCCCAGCCCGGATGAGCGCGAGTGCGGTGTGTTCACGATCATCCTCATCGAGGCCTGCATTCTTGCTTTCCCCGCGCAGTCCGCAGGCTCGCAATAGCGGCGTCTGACCCTGGGCATCTCTTCTTTCGAGGTCGTGGCCTGCGGCAATGATGGGTGTCACGAGACCGTGCCGGGTACAGATCTCGTGCAGTGCAGATGTCCCTTTCTCTAGGGCCTGATGCGGATCCGCGCCATGAGCAAGCAGAACAGCCATGAGTTCTTCCCTCTTCCCCGATGCTTCTATGAGCGGGGTTTCAGTTCGCTCCCCCTGGTGTTCATCCTTCGATGTATACACGACATTGGGGTCGACACCCGCCTTCAGAAGCAGCTTTACCGCAGAGACACTCCCTGCTTGGATCGCGCAAGCTATTGCCGGTGGGACTCCAAGGGATGGGTCCACCCCGTGGTCTAGTAGTCTTTGAATGACCGATGGGTCCCGATTAGCGCGGAGAGCGGCGTGAAAGCCCGGTGTCGGCGCCTGCCTCCAGCAGTATGCTCAGCGCCTGGGGATGCCACCAAGACCTGCCGGCAGCAAGTTTGCGCATCGCACGGGAACAATCAATCTGGAATTTGGGCCCCATAGAGTGACCGTCTTGCTCGTCAGATTGACCCCGAGCAGCGCTTTGCGCCAGCAGCCTAATCATTTCGATGTTACAGAACGAGCGCTCAGCAGCTGAATCGAGAAGTGAGGGTAGGAGGCCGTGGAGACCCTTGACATATGGCAGCAGCGTCCTCATCATTGACAGGAGACCCCACCGTGCACAAAGATGAAGAGCATTCGTTCTGTCATCTTCGTCAATGACCACATTTGTGGAAAGCATCAGCTCCTTGACGAGTTTCACACTCCCGGTAGCAACAAATCGTTCCAGAAGTGTACTATTACTTGATGGTACGTCAAGCTTCTCCGGTATCTTCGCCATAGAATATCCACCTCCATAGGGTATAGCTCCCCCGATGGGGTCTAGGGGAGATAGTTCGGGATAACCATCAGCGGAATCATATATCCAAGACATTGATGGAGCCAGCTCTTCCACCATGTCCGACAGGCCCCGACTCAATGCAAGGTCTGATGTCGTTTCATCATCCGCATCAAGGTGCGCTGGGTCGGCTCCGGCGGCCAGCAAGACCTGCACAACCTCCCTGATCGAATAGTTACCATCCTCATCCTTGATAATGTATCCCAATTCCTGATGGGCCTTGGTCATGCCTTCCGACAACCTCATGCTCTCGCTCTTTTGCCAGCGATAGATTGCTTCGAATTCAGCCGAACCGTCCAATCATCGTTGCTCTCGTTCTTTTGCGAGCGACAAATGGCTTCGAATTCAGCCGCGGTATGCAGCGGAGTTCTACCTCGCCAATCGCAGATATCCGGACGTGAACCAGCATCAACTAGAAGCTTGACGGACTCATACCTATCCGATTTGGCAGCTTCATGTAAGGCTGTTCGACCACGAACAGTTTGACCATCTATTGGCAACGACTGGCTCCGGTAAGCATCGATCAGAAGTCCGAGAGCGGCGGATTGCCCTGCTTCTGCCGCATAATGCAGAGCTGTACGCCCTCGGTTAGACTTGGCCTCGAGATCTGCCCCGGTCAAGGAATTATGGATAATCTGAACGACACCGTCCTCGCAGAGTTCTAAAAGGGGGCCACAAGCGGTCCTTACGGCCATTTCGGCGTTTCGGTTTGCTCCAAGACCCCCGCGATCGGGTTAAAAAGTCGATCATCGTGGCAATTTCGAGCAGACGCAATGGCCGGGCTGACTGTGTGACCCACTCCAGGACCAACCGTTGAAACTCCGATGCAGTCTTTGAGCGAGCGGCATGGCCGCCAAAGCCGAGGAAAGGCACTACCACAGCTTGTTGAACAAAGCCGTCTCCCCATCAGGGGTCTCCTGCCTCAAGGTCTCGAGCGTGGACTGCAACAGAGGCGAGTGGTCGATCAGACCGTGGCAGAAGTCTTTCAAGAGGGAGTGGGGAGTTTGATTATCCTCGGTGCTCTCGCGAAAGAAGAAGAACAGAACCGGGGCGTCTCCCCGTTGCTGTAGCCTCCGAACCATGGTGGCGGCGACCACCGACTTTCCGCTTCCCGGGATGCCTCGGATCCAGAGGTCGCCGATCGCATCGGTCTCACTCCAGCGATGATACTGCTGGGTGTTGAGGATCCAATCCCCGGTGCTAGACACGTGGGAGTTGAGATGTTTGCGGTATTCACTGGCGGGGGATGTTGTGTCGGTTGGGGCCAGCCATGTTTTGATCTTCTGGACTACGCCTTCCACTGGTCCCGGCTTGTGTGGGAGGTGCCTGTTGTCGGTTAGTGATTTGCTGTACCTTGATGGAGGAATTGGCACGGAGATGAGGACCTGGGGGGGTGGCGACAACATAGTCGGATGCCTCATCGCCGGACTCTGTCATGGTGAGGTTGAGCAGAGGTTGAGCCGAGGTTGAGCGCGATTGGGCATTGATTAAGATTGAGAGTGGAATGAGAAGATATTGGGAGTGGGAGTGGCAGTGGCAGTGGCAGTTGGCAAGAGCGACTGAATCCCGTGACCAAACTGACTCAGAGGAGGGGAGCTGGCCAATGGAACTAATTATGTATGGGAGCCACTGGTACTAGGCACTGCTGTACCCTGTAGGGATGATCTGTTTCCATGATGGTACTGCATATGTATGTACTACTGTAAGTTAGTGGATCATGATTGATCCATCTTCCACTGCATCAAAGGGGAGACATTCCACGTGACAAGAGGAGAATGATTGGATCATTCAGTTATGCGGATCTTGCCCCGCCAGTGTCAGCCCGTAGTAAGTATGGATCTTGAATCATGAAATGCTCAACGCAACGATTGGGATAGAAGTTATATAGAGTGACTCCGTCTCTCATCTTCTAACCAAACTTCACAAAGCTTGGCCCTGGACCAAGACAGTGCAGTCAATCAGGATCGTACCCCGTAGTGGGGAACGAACGCCATCCAGGGTTCAATATCGATAGTCGGTGGGACCCGAGGGCTACCGTGGTAGAATCGTCCAAGTTATACCAGGTATATCAAGTCCCAATATTCTTGACAATAAATTTCTTAACAGAATAAACCACCTAGCAGTTCAGGAACAGCTAGAAAAGTCAAGGAATACAGCACATCGACTCAACAGTCTGAACAATGTTCAATTGAGTCAAATCAAGTTGATCTCCGCTTAATTTAGTCCCCGATGAAACCTACTGCATACCGAGTCTAAATAAAATCCCCCACTCAGCAATCCTATACCCTGCATGACAATCATCCTGGGAAAGAGAATATAGACAGCCTGTGAGTGAGGGACAAATCCTCAGTGATCAACTAGAATTAATATTCCAAGATTCAAATCAATCCCCCTCGCCCAACAGAGCAACTGGACTCCATCTCTTACTAGAACCCTAAGCAAGCAAGCAAATAACACCGATAAACCAAAGAACATACGAGCATAAAAAAAAGAAAAAAAAAAGTAAAAACACTACAACTCCAACAGCTGTATCAAAGATTCAAAAACTCCATCAGGAGCAATTTCCATTGAAAGTATCTCACCAAACCCAACCATCTCAGTTCTCCCTCTCACTATACGGCGGCGGCGGCGTCCTCGCCAACTCCCTCTCCCCCTCCCCATCTGGCACCGCACCCCCGAGCCCCCTAGCCGACTCACCCGTCAACTGCCTCGCGCGGCGCACCGAGCGTTCGAACGTGCCCGCCCCATTCAGCTGATCGTAGATCCAGCCCTGGGCGGTGGTCCGGGTGAAGGCGACGCCGAGGACACGGCCACAGAAGGTCGAGATGGACAGCCAGGAGCGGACGTCGGGGAGGTCGGTGGTGAGGATGGGGGTGGCCATGACCAGGCGGGCGAGGTGGATGTCGAAGGGCCGGGAGCTGGGGGTGGTCAGACGGGCGTTGTTGTAGAGCACGCGCAGGAGGAGGACCTTGTCGATGTCGTGGATGTCGACCGCGCCGAGGTCGGTGTCGCCGGGGGCGGGGCGGGGGAGGCCATGGAAGGTTGAATCGTGGTGGTCCATGGGAGTTTCCGGGGGTTCAGCTGTGGTTCAGCTGTTTGATTGGGATCTGTTTGTGATGGACAAGTCCGATCTCTCCAGCTGGAATGTACTGCACGTATCAACCGGTGATGTTGACCCCGGCCCTCGAATGCCAACCATCGAGGCGATTTATATACCAAATCTCAGCCGAATTCCCCCAAACGCAACAAAGACCGTCAACCAAAGTCAACCGGAAACCCCCAGCTCACCACAATCAACCCACCCCCACAAAGATAACCCCATACAAAGGATTCGATCTCGTAGTCGAAACCCTCCAGCCCTAACTACCTCCCACCGCGATGCTATAAAACCACCACCACCAGCTGGCAAACAATGACCCAACCCCAGACCAACCCACTGGACACCCCACCCCACCCCAAACCCTAACGCCGAAACACCGCAAGCATGCCCCCCCTAAAGCTCCTCGCGCACCCCAACCGCAGCCGAACCCACCCCCACCCCCACCGCAACCCCCCTGCCCTCCCCCCCTTCACCTACACCCCAGGAGACCCGATCACCCTCCCCTGGCTCCACCGCCTAACCGCCCACCTCGAACACAACGACATCCCCGTAGCGCTCCTAAACCGGGCGCTCTTCCGCACGCTCAACTGGACGGACGACCTCTTCATGGACCCGTGCATCGACCTCGACATCGCAGGCCACCAAATGGGCGGGGCGATCGCGGTCCTGCAAGCCGCGGGACTAGACGACACGCCACGCAGCGTGACCGACACCCTCGCGTGCATGCACCAGTGGCCCTCAGGGCCGAGCCGCTACTGGCCGGCGGACCGGGACGACCGCCTCGAGGACGCATGGTGGGCGCCGGCGCACGTCTTCTTCGTCGCGCGGGGCGCCTACGTGCGCGCTCGCGACCATCGGCTCTGGAGTCGGGGCCCGGAGCCCGACTCCCCGGACAGCGTGGAGCACCCGGGCCACGTGGTCATGGTGCGGCTGTTCGCGCACGAGCAGTATTTCTGGCACATGCCGTGTCCGCGCTTCCGGTGTGATCCGCGCGAGGATGGGGAGTGGGAGTGTTATACCATGGTGGGGGCGGAGGTGGATGGCCCAAACACCTGTACCCAAGACGGGAGGGGGGCGAGCAGCGGATTGCCGCGGATGGTGCGCGTGATGAAGCCGGCGCAGTACCTCGAGGGGATGCTGCTGCTGCACTGGCGCGACCGCAGCCGGGAGGACGACACCCGCGGCACCTCCTGGGAGCTGACCTTCGACCTGCTCTGCGATCTGGCCCGACGCGCCCGGCCCGCCTGCCTGCGCACCCGCGCCTTCCGGCCGGAGATGCGCCGCCTGCTGCAGGACGAGATCCTGGCCCCCGACTGCAAGACGGACCGCGAGTACGACTGGCTGTTCACCCGGCGCCGCATCAACCGCGCCCAGCTGATGTACCAGCAGATGAAGGGCACCCCCATGATGCCCCAGTCCCCGTTCCCCGTCCTGCCCAGCGGCTTGCCGGAGTCGCTGCACGCGACGTACACCGCCCTCATGAGTGGGATGGAGCTGTACGATCCCGATTTGCCGTGGGTCGATCGGCGCCCTGGCCTGTTTCGTCTCGATGAAGACGGGTACATAATTGAGGGCCTGGTTGCCGAGGATGATGAGGAGTCCGATTCTGACTCCGAGGAATCCCAGGACCCCAATAATAGGGGGTATGATGATGAAATCGAAGTGTATGACCCCAGCGAGCCAGAATCGTAGATTATCGTAGCATTACGGTGGGTTGAACGTAGGGGAGATGGTTTCGTGAGTTCCATTTTCGCTTCGTAGAACTAATGAACGAATGATTATTGTTCTATATTGAAAAAAAAACTCCTTTGCGACGAGACCGTACTCCCTCACACGCGCTAACAAGCAGACAATCAAAGCAAATGCAGTTTGACAGGTTTAACCCTTAACAAAGAAGACAGAAATTACCTCAAGAATCCCATCTTCTTCCAGCTTTGAAGATACCTTCTCACCACCTCAACATCGACAGGCCCTACCCCCGCTAGCGTGGCTGAATGCTCACGGCACCGCACTGTCTCTAACCTCAGTCCCCCGCACGACATGCGACGAAAGTGCTCCTCCAGAAAGTCAACCATCAAAGAGGCAGGGTTCTCGTCACTTGGTCCAGCGAATGTTCGGACTCGACGGATCCATTCCTCGAAGGGCACGGTAGTGATGGTTCCATTCTGTGCGCTCGAGTCTTGCCCCTCCTTCAGGCGGGCTGGTGCCGGGTTGAACCGCAGACCTTCAGCCAGCAAGGGGATCATATCCTCCCATGGTTGTCCGATAGGATTCTCAATGTGATAGACCGGATATCTGTTTGCCATCTCCACTCCTTCGCCCGAAAGGAGTAGATCCCCCAAAGTGGCCGCCACGTCCTCAACAGGCGTCCACGAAACAGTTCCCCTCAAGTCCGGGAGACACCCGAGCGTCTGTGAGGATTTAAGAAGAAAAGGCAGATGCTCCTGCGGATTCCAGTATCCACTGACTCGTGACCCTGCTACTTGCCCTAAACGGACGGCCATGGGCTGGAACATGTCCGGGTGGCGGTGAAGGGTTTCGTCCAGCATGCGCTCGCAGATGAACTTGGCGAGGCCGTACCCATTGGTCAGAACGGATTGTAGAGGTAGTCGCGACTCAGGTACGTTAGGGTTGCCGGTGTGGATAGGATAATGGCCGACCGTGGCAATTGAGGAGATCAACTGAAAGTGGATCTTGGAGCCACTGTAGGCATAACTAGCGAAGTCAAGAAGGTTGCGCATGACCTGAAACTGCGGCTCGAAGCCCTCAACAGGCCGTTTGCCGCTCATGGGCCAAGCATTGTGGATGATGTGCGTGGTTTTCAAAGCGAGCTGAGCATACTCCGCTTGAGATAGACCGAGGAAGGGCTTGGATGTATCAGTCTCGAGGATCCGAAGTTTTGAAAGCGCCTGGGCGCCCATTGTGATCCCCCGCGTGGATAGGGCTTCATGCTGGCGCTCTGATGGTGTCTTGTTGTTGCGGGCGGGACGATTAAGGCAAATCACAGTAGCAACGTTGTATTGATGCGCGAGATGGCTAACCAGCTGACAGCCTAGACCCCCGGTGGCCCCAGTCACAAGTATCACGGCCCCAGAGGAAGGTTTCTTCCTTGATGCCTCGGGGATTTTAGCGCTGAAGCCCTGAGTATGTTGCCGAATGTAACCATCCACTACTGCCTGTCGAGTCACCAAGTCGGCGTCAGCAGGTGGGCTTGGAGGTTGCGGCAAGGAACAGTGGCGATGTTCATACCTTGGCCCTTGGGAAGCCATTGCGACCACGATGCGCTCGATCCCGACCTCGGGGCATTTTCCATTCGTCCAGTCTACCTGGCCATATC